CGGTGCAGATGCACCATGAAGCAAAGGGCCGACTCAGGCGGCCTGGCTCAGGGCCACAACAGGGAATTCCTGCTGCTCGCTCATTACGACGTCGGCGGTAATCCTCTCTCACGCTTTGGGCCTCCCGATTCATTTATTTCTGGTGACGCCGTGGAGAGCACCACTACTACTGCGTCACAGACGTCTCACGGCCCGCCGGGCTAATCGACAGGGACAGGGCAAGACAATAGGCCGGCTTGCCCTCTTTGCAAAGCTGGATCCACTCCCTAGCCACCGTAATCAGCTTTGCCTCTGTTGCGGCGTGTAAACAGCAACCGGCCCATGAGATTAACCTATGGAACAGCCCTGCGTCGCTCTTCCAATGCTTGCGTAGGAAGGCAGGCGCATCAGCCCAACAGATGCTCATTGCAAGGAAGAAAGGGAAGACCTCAAAAATGTGCCTCCACCGAGGCGTAATATCTCTACGTATAGGAGCTCTCATGTGTTTGGCAAGCATAAGAGCAAATGCTTATGCTCCCAAACCAAGTTTAGTGTGATTGCAAAGCAGTACTAAACCTATCTACGTTTCTCCCAGATCATCTCCCAGTGATCAAGTCACGCTTCCCAAAATTGGCTGCTATAGTGAACGAGGATAAACTTGCAAATCATGGGATCTTAACTATTGTTTGCTTCGATGAAATGGCATTTTGGAGGAAGACCTCACTTAAGCATTGGGAAGAACTTCCCAGCAGTTAGAGTTGTTCAACAGTGGAACTCACTGCCTCAAGAGTCCTTCCTTGGAGGCTTTTAAACAGAGGCCGGATGGTCATCTGTTGGGGGTGCTTTGGTTGTGCTTTTCCTGCATGGTAGAAGCGGGTTGGACTGGATAACCTTTGGGGTATCTTCCAACTTGAGGATTCTATGCTTGTATTCTTATTCTAGCTGTTGTGGGGATTGTGGGAGTTGAAGTCGAAAACACCTGGAGGGAGGGCCAAAGTTGGCCCATGCCTACTCTATAGGATGTTTTAGATGGGCAAACCCAGGCCCGGGGCCTAATGTGGCCAGTTGGGCTCTTTTCTCAGGCTGTCCTCTCTCACTATCCTAGCCTTCCTTCCTTCTCTTTCCTTCCTCCTTCCCTTCCTCCTTCCCTTCCTTCCTTCCTTCCTTCCTTCCTTCCTTCCTCCTTCCTTCCTCCTTCCTCCTTTTCCTTCCCCTCCCTCCCTCCCTCCCTTTTTTCCTTTCCTCTTCTCCTTCCTTCCTTCCTTCCTTCCTTCCTTCCTTTCCTTCTTTCCTTCTCCTTCCTTCCCTCTTCTTCCCTCCCTCTTTCTCTTCCTTTCCCTTCTCTTTCCTTTTCTTTCTTTCCTTCCATCCTTCCTTCCTTCTCTCCTCTTTCTTCCCTCCCCTTCTCTCCTTCCTTCCTTCCTTCCTTCTTCCTTCCTTCCTTCCCTTCCTCCTCTCTTCTCTCCTTCCATCCTTCCCTTTTTCCCTTCTTCCTTCCTTCCTTCCTTCCTTCCTCCCTTTTGTCGTTCCTTCCTCCCTTCCCTTCCACCCTTTCGCCCTTCCTTCTCTCTTTCCTCCCCCCTTCCCTTACTTCCTCCTTCCCTCCCTCTCATCCCTTTTGCCTTTTCTTCCTTCTTCCTTTTCTTCCTTCTCTTCCTCCCTCCCTCCCTTCCCTCCTTCTTCCCTCCCTTCTCCCTTCCTTCCTCCCTCCTTCCCTTCCTCTCCTTCTTCTTTCTCCCTTCTCTTCCCTCCCCTCCTTCTCCTTTCTTTCCCTCCCCCCTTTCCCCTCCTTCCTTCCCTTCCTTCCTTCCTTCCTTCCTTCCTTCCTTCCTTCCTTCCTTCCTTCCTTCCTTCCTTCCTTCCTTCCTTCCTTCCTGTCCCTCCTTCTTTCCTTCTTCCTTCCTTTCCTTCCTTCCTTCCTTCCTTCCTTTTTCTCCTTCCAACCTTCCCTTCCACCCTTTCATCCTTCCTTCTTTCCTTCTCTCTTTCCTTCCTTCTATCACCGGGCAGCCAATACTCTTGGCAGGGATTGCAAGCATACAACCCACAAGTTAGAAAGTTTGCCCAGGCCTGGTGTGGGTGATATTCTTCCATTCTGCCAGGGATCTTTTTGCACAATGGGAGCAATAGAAAAACAGACCAAACATTGCAAAAAAGGGATACGCTTGCTGTTTCCCACTCTTTCCATATTGTAAATGCATAGACATTTACGGTAGGTATTCTATCTACCTGTTAACCTATCCTGCAATAATTCTGATGGCAACACCTATTATTATATTTCCTTATTGTTCCCCTTATAGTGTTATTATTATTCTTCCAGGGTGAAGGATTTGGCCAAGTTGAAGGATCTCCTACATTTCGTAACGTCTATTGTTGATATTGTTCTTCACTCTTTGGAGTGAAGAACATCGTATTGTTTTCAATTTCCAGAGTATCGGCCCATTTTGTCCAGATGCGCTTGCAACTCCCATGTGGTGTGTTCCAGCTCTATGAGTCTATGATTCCTTTGGCTCTTGTCCTTCTCCTCTCGCTCCTCCCCAGCATCAGATTTCGGATGCTCATCTGGAGCTCCAGCCTACTCTGCCTTTCCCTCCCAAAGTGCCAGATCAGCAGGCCCTCCCTCTTCCCGGCCCTCCATTCCCAAAAAGCCTTGCCAAAGGGGCCTGGCTTCAGCCATGCGCTTGGCGCAACATCCGCCTCCAGTTGCATCAAGTCTCCTGGATGGCGGAGAGATATCCCCAAAGCATCCAAAGTAGGGTGTATCTACACCAGGCATGGGCCAACTTGGTCTCTTAATTCTATGGGTCAACTTGGGCCCTCCCTCCAGGTGTTTTGGACTTCAACTCCCACAATTCCTAACAGCCTACCAGCTGTTAGGAATTGTGGGAGTTGGAGTCCAAAACACCTGGAGGGAGGGCCCAAGTTGACCCATAGAATTAATGAGTTGGAAGAGACCTCGTGGGCCATCCAGTCCAACCCCATTCTGCCAAGTAGCAGGAAAATCACATTCGAAGCACCCCCGACAGATGGCCATCCAACCTCTGTTTCAAAGCCTCCAAAGAAGGAGCCTCCACCACACTCCAGGGCAGAGAGTTCCACTGCTGAACAGCTCTCACAGTTAGGAAGTTCTTCCTAAAGTTCAGGTGGTGGTGGAGGTGGTGGTGATGATGATGATGATGATGATAATAATAATAATAATAATAATAATAATAGTACAATATATAATCATAGAGTTGTAAGAGACCACATGGGCCATCTAGTCCAACCCCCTGCCATGCAGGAATAATAATAATAATAATAATAATAATAATAATAATAATAATAATAATAATTTTTGTGTCAGGAGCAAGTTGCTTCTGGTGTGAGAGAATTGGTCGTCTGCAAGGACATTGCCCAGGGGACGCCTGGATGATTTGATGTTTTTTTTTAATCATCCTTGTGGGAGGCTTCTCTCATGTCCCCGCATGAGGAGCTGGAGCTGATAGAGGGAGCTCATCCACGCTCTCTCCGGATTCGAACCTGCGACCTGTCGGTCTTCAGTCCTGCCAGCACAGGGATTTAACTGACTGCGCCACCGGGGGCTCCATAATAATAATAATAATAATAATAATAATAATAATAATAGGTAAAGGTAAAGGTCATTTCTGACTCTGGGGTGTGGTGCTCATCTCCATTTCTAAGCCGAAGAGCCAGCATTGTCCGTAGACACCTCTAAGGTCATGACTGCATGGAGCACCGTTACCTTCCCACCGGAGCGGTACCTATTGATCTACCCACATTTGCATGTTTTCGAACTGCTAGGTTGGCAGAAGCTAGGGTCCAACCCCCTGACAAGCAGGAATAATAATAATAATAATAATAATAATAATAATAATAATAATATGATAAATATAATAATGAAATATAATAATATAAAATAATAATGAAAAATATAGTAAAATAATAATAACATAGAATCATAGAATAATAAAGTTGTAAGAGACCACATGGGCTATCTAGTCCAACCTCCTGCCATGCAGGAATAATAATAATAATAATAATAATAATAATAATAATAATATGATAACAATAATGAAATAATATAAGATAATAATATAAAATATAGTAAAATAATAATAATAATAATAATAATAATAATAATAATATAGAATCATAGAATAATAAGGTTGGAAGAGACCACATGGGCCATCTAGTCGAACCTACCTGCCATGCAGGAATAATAATAATAATAATAATAATATGATAACAACAATGAAATATAATAATATAAACTAATAATATAAAATATAGTAAAATAACAATAATAATATAGAATCATAGAATAATAAGGTTGGAAGAGACCCCATGGGCCATCTAGTCCAACCAACCTGCCTTGCAGGAATAATAATAATAATAAAATAAAATAATGAATTATAATAATATAAAATATAGTAAAATAATAATAATAATAATAATAATAATAATATAGAATGTATTGTCTTCATAGAATAATTACGTTGGAAGAGACCACATGGGCCATCTAGTCCAACCCCCTTGCCATTCAGAAAAATATAATAATAATAATAATAATAATAACAAAATATGATAATAACAACAGTAAATAATAATAATAATAATATCATCTATGCTGACAATCATGCCATCACCGCCCAAACAGGGATATTTGAAATGATTGAACAGAAGCTCCCTGAAGCTTTAGGTGCTCTTACTACCTATTACATGGAAAACCAGCGGATTACTAATCCATCTAAAATAATAATAGTATTGATAATAATAAAAAAATATACTAATTATAACAATAAAATATGATAATACAAAATAATATTAAAATATAATAATAATCAGCATCCAGGCTTGGGCCAACTTGGGCCCTCCCTCCAGGTGTTTTGGACTCCAACAATTCCTAACAGCCTACCGGCTGTTAGGAATTGTGGGAGTTGGAGTCCAAAACACCTGGAGGGAGGGCCCAAGTTGGCCCATGCCTGGGATAGACTTTCCAAATTTAGACACTCTCTAAATACCTGGACTTGCCCTCCTCTCCTCTTCGGCTGGAATCGTCTTCGCTGCAGCTGCCGCTGCCCAACGGTGTCGGGCACAGGCGGTGCTCTTCATCTTCTTCCTCCTCCTCCTCTTCCTCCTCCTCTTCCTCCTCCTTGGCCACTCGGATCTCCACCAGACCGGTTGCTCCCCAAGGCAGGAGCCCACCTTCAGCCCGTCCTTTCTCCATGCCTCCAAGCAGAGAAGGAGGAGAAAAAAAGAGGATGTTGCCTCCTCCTCCTCTTCCTCTTCTTCCTCCTCTTCGGCTGGTTGTCTGGCAAGGAATGAAGAGCCAGACGAGAGAGGCGAGGAGGAGCTTCCAGCCTCCGCCCAGACACGACACAGAGGGAGGGATGGAGAGAAGGAGGGATGGAGAGAAGGAGGGATGGAGAGAAGGAGGGATGGAGGGGAGGAGGGATGGAGGGGAGGAGGGATGGAGGGGAGGAGGGATGGAGGGGAGGAGGGATGGAGAGAAGGAGGGATGGAGAGAAGGAGGGATGGAGGGGAGGAGGGATGGAGGGGAGGAGGGATGGAGAGAAGGAGGGATGGAGAGAAGGAGGGATGGAGGGGAGGAGGGATGGAGGGGAGGAGGGATGGAGGGGAGGAGGGATGGAGAGAAGGAGGGATGGAGAGAAGGAGGGATGGAGAGAAGGAGGGATAGAAGGGAGGAGGGATGGAGGGGAGGAGGGATGGAGAGAAGGAGGGATGGAGGGGAGGAGGGATGGAGGGGAGGAGGGATGGAGAGAAGGAGGGATGGAGAGAAGGAGGGATGGAGAGAAGGAGGGATAGAAGGGAGGAGGGATGGAGGGGAGGAGGGATGGAGAGAAGGAGGGATGGAGAGAAGGAGGGATGGAGAGAAGGAGGGATGGAGGGGAGGAGGGATGGAGGGGAGGAGGGATGGAGAGAAGGAGGGATGGAGGGGAGGAGGGATGGAGGGGAGGAGGGATGGAGAGAAGGAGGGATGGAGGGGAGGAGGGATGGAGGGGAGGAGGGATGGAGAGAAGGAGGGATGGAGGGGAGGAGGGATGGAGGGGAGGAGGGATGGAGAGAAGGAGGGATGGAGAGAAGGAGGGATGGAGAGAAGGAGGGATGGAGAGAAGGAGGGATGGAGAGAAGGAGGGATGGAGGGGAGGAGGGATGGAGGGGAGGAGGGATGGAGGGGAGGAGGGATGGAGAGAAGGAGGGATGGAGGGGAGGAGGGATGGAGGGGAGGAGGGATGGAGAGAAGGAGGGATGGAGAGAAGGAGGGATGGAGAGAAGGAGGGATGGAGAGAAGGAGGGATGGAGAGAAGGAGGGATGGAGAGAAGGAGGGATGGAGGGGAGGAGGGAAGGGAGGAGGGATGGAGGGGAGGAGGGATGGAGAGAAGGAGGGATGGAGAGAAGGAGGGATGGAGAGAAGGAGGGATAGAAGGGAGGAGGGATGGAGGGGAGGAGGGATGGAGAGAAGGAGGGATGGAGGGGAGGAGGGATGGAGGGGAGGAGGGATGGAGGGGAGGAGGGATGGAGAGAAGGAGGGATGGAGAGAAGGAGGGATGGAGAGAAGGAGGGATAGAAGGGAGGAGGGATGGAGGGGAGGAGGGATGGAGAGAAGGAGGGATGGAGAGAAGGAGGGATGGAGAGAAGGAGGGATGGAGGGGAGGAGGGATGGAGAGAAGGAGGGATGGAGAGAAGGAGGGATGGAGGGGAGGAGGGATGGAGGGGAGGAGGGATGGAGAGAAGGAGGGATGGAGGGGAGGAGGGATGGAGGGGAGGAGGGATGGAGAGAAGGAGGGATGGAGGGGAGGAGGGATGGAGGGGAGGAGGGATGGAGAGAAGGAGGGATGGAGAGAAGGAGGGATGGAGGGGAGGAGGGATGGAGGGGAGGAGGGATGGAGAGAAGGAGGGATGGAGAGAAGGAGGGATGGAGGAGGAGGGATGGAGGGGGGGAGGATGGACCTAGGAGGGATGGAGGGAGGAGGGGGATGGAGAGAGGAGGGATGGAGAGGAGGGGCAAGGGATTGGAGGAGGGAGGGAGGGATGGAAGGAGGGATGGAGGAGAGAAGGATCTGTTGTCGCGATTATTCCCAATTCCCTTCGCCTTCTGCCCGTAACACGATCACAAACAACCGATTTTCATTTATCGTATAAAAAGGAGGGATAGAGAAGGATGGATAGAAGGAGGGATGGAGAGAAGGAGGGATGGAGAGGAGGGATGGAGAGAAGGAGGGATGGAGGGAAGGAGGGATGGAGGGGAGGAGGGATGGAGAGAAGGAGGGATGGAGAGAAGGAGGGATGGAGGGGAGGAGGGATGGAGAGAAGGAGGGATGGAGGATGGAGGGGAGGAGGGATGGAGAGAAGGAGGGATGGAGAGAAGGAGGGATGGAGAGAAGGAGGGATAGAAGGGAGGAGGGATGGAGGGGAGGAGGGATGGAGAGAAGGAGGGATGGAGAGGAGGAGGGATGGAGAGAAGGAGGGATGGAGAGAAGGAGGGATGGAGATGAAGGAGGAGGAGGAGAAGGAGGGGAAGAAGGAGGAGAGGATGGAGGGGAGGAGGGATGGAGGGGAGGAGGGATGGAGGGGAGGAGGGATGGAGGGGAGGAGGGATGGAGAGAAGGAGGGATGGAGAGAGGGAGGGATGGAGGGGAGGAGGGATGGAGGGGAGGAGGGATGGAGGGGAGGAGGGATGGAGAGAAGGAGGGATGGAGAGAAGGAGGGATGGAGAGAAGGAGGGATAGAAGGGAGGAGGGATGGAGGGGAGGAGGGATGGAGAGAAGGAGGGATGGAGAGAAGGAGGGATGGAGAGAAGGAGGGATAGAAGGGAGGAGGGATGGAGGGGAGGAGGGATGGAGAGAAGGAGGGATGGAGAGAAGGAGGGATGGAGAGAAGGAGGGATGGAGGGGAGGAGGGATGGAGGGGAGGAGGGATGGAGAGAAGGAGGGATGGAGAGAAGGAGGGATGGAGAGAAGGAGGGATAGAAGGGAGGAGGGATGGAGGGGAGGAGGGATGGAGAGAAGGAGGGATGGAGGGGAGGAGGGATGGAGGGGAGGAGGGATGGAGGGGAGGAGGGATGGAGGGGAGGAGGGATGGAGGGGAGGAGGGATGGAGAGAGGAGGGATGGAGAGAAGGAGGGATGGAGAGAAGGAGGGATGGAGGGGAGGAGGGATGGAGGGGAGGAGGGATGGAGGGGAGGAGGGATGGAGAGAAGGAGGGATGGAGAGAAGGAGGGATGGAGAGAAGGAGGGATGGAGAGAAGGAGGGATGGAGGGGAGGAGGGATGGAGGGGAGGAGGGGAGGAGGGATGGAGGGGAGGAGGGATGGAGGGGAGGAGGGATGGAGGGGAGGAGGGATGGAGAGAAGGAGGGATGGAGAGAAGGAGGGATGGAGAGAAGGAAGGATAGAAGGGAGGAGGGATGGAGGGGAGGAGGGATGGAGAGAAGGAGGGATGGAGAGAAGGAGGGATGGAGAGAAGGAGGGATAGAAGGGAGGAGGGATGGAGGGGAGGAGGGATGGAGAGAAGGAGGGATGGAGAGAAGGAGGGATGGAGAGAAGGAGGGATGGAGGGGAGGAGGGATGGAGGGGAGGAGGATGGAGAGAAGGAGGGATGGAGGGGAGGAGGGATGGAGGGGAGGAGGGATGGAGGGGAGGAGGGATGGAGAGAAGGAGGGATGGAGAGAAGGAGGGATGGAGAGAAGGAGGGATAGAAGGGAGGAGGGATGGAGGGGAGGAGGGATGGAGAGAAGGAGGGATGGAGAGAAGGAGGGATGGAGAGAAGGAGGGATAGAAGGGAGGAGGGATGGAGGGGAGGAGGGATGGAGAGAAGGAGGGATGGAGAGAAGGAGGGATGGAGAGAAGGAGGGATGGAGGGGAGGAGGGATGGAGGGGAGGAGGGATGGAGAGAAGGAGGGATGGAGAGAAGGAGGGATGGAGGGGAGGAGGGATGGAGAGAAGGAGGGATGGAGAGAAGGAGGGATGGAGAGAAGGAGGGATGGAGGGGAGGAGGGATGGAGGGGAGGAGGGATGGAGGGGAGGAGGGATGGAGAGAAGGAGGGATGGAGGGGAGGAGGGATGGAGGGGAGGAGGGATGGAGAGAAGGAGGGATGGAGAGAGGGAGGGATGGAGGGGAGGAGGGATGGAGGGGAGGAGGGATGGAGGGGAGGAGGGATGGAGAGAAGGAGGGATGGAGAGAAGGAGGGATGGAGAGAAGGAGGGATGGAGGGGAGGAGGGATGGAGGGGAGGAGGGATGGAGGGGAGGAGGGATGGAGAGAAGGAGGGATGGAGAGAAGGAGGGATGGAGAGAAGGAGGGATAGAAGGGAGGAGGGATGGAGGGGAGGAGGGATGGAGAGAAGGAGGGATGGAGAGAAGGAGGGATGGAGGGGAGGAGGGATGGAGAGAAGGAGGGATGGAGAGAAGGAGGGATGGAGGGGAGGAGGGATGGAGGGGAGGAGGGATGGAGAGAAGGAGGGATGGAGAGAAGGAGGGATGGAGGGGAGGAGGGATGGAGAGAAGGAGGGATGGAGAGAAGGAGGGATGGAGGGGAGGAGGGATGGAGAGAAGGAGGGATGGAGAGAAGGAGGGATGGAGAGAAGGATGGAGGGGAGGAGGGATGGAGAGAAGGAGGGATGGAGAGAAGGAGGGATGGAGAGAAGGAGGGATGGAGAGAAGGAGGGATGGAGGGGAGGAGGGATGGAGGGGAGGAGGGATGGAGAGAAGGAGGGATGGAGAGAAGGAGGGATGGAGGGAGGAGAAAGCCAACCAAGTTGGAGAGGGTTTGGAACCACTCAAGGCGGTATCACTCCATCCTAAGGCATCCCAAGGCTCCAGGGCATCCTCCTTGCACTCTTACATAGGTTAGGTACCACTTCAGTCGCCACGGCAACATCCTAAAAGATGCTAGGACTCCATGAGAAATCAGTAGAGCAGCAATGGCTCCCAAAGGGACCCATTTAAGGTGGAATTGGGTGTCAAACAGGGATGATGTGTTATGGCCCCAACTTTATTCTCCATCTTCATCGCTATGATACTTCATCTTGTTGACAGGAAGCTTCCCACTGGAATGGAAATCATCTTATCGGACAGATGGCAAGCTGTTTAACCTCAGCCAAAACCAAGGTCACAGCATCTGTTATAGAACTGCAATATGCTGATGACAACATCGTCTATGCGCATTCAGAAGATCTACAAGCCATTCTAAACACATTATTTATTTATTTACAGCTTTTCTATTCCACCCTTCTCACCCCGCAGGGGACTCAGGGCGGATTACAGTGTACACATATATGGCAAACATTCAATGCCAATTTTGACATACAACATATACAGACATACACAGAGGCTATTTAACTTTTTCTGGCCGCCAGGGGAGCTGTCGCTTTCATCGTCCATCTGCGACGCTGATGAAGCACTTCCGCATTCCCCGCATGCTTCCCCGCTGGAATGCTTTGCTGGAGTATTCTTTATGGCCTCATAAATCAGTTAATTTAGCCTCCCCACACTTTAAGGTGGTACCTTATTTTCCTACTTGACAGATGCAACTGTCTTTCGGGTTGCAAAGGTCGACAACAGGCTACACACAATTGGTTGGAAACCCACTCCAACCCGGGCTGGCTTCGAATTCATGACCTTTTGGTCAGAGTGATCTTAATGCAGTTGACACTCAGCCATCTGCGCCACAATCCCGGTGGCGCAATCCCGGCTTACAAGAAGCTTGGCCTGTCAAGCCAAAACCAAGGTTACAACAACATCTGTTATAGAACTCCAATATGCTGATGACAATGTCGTCTGTGCGCATTCAGAAGAAGACCTACAAGCCACTCTGAACACCTTCACAGAAGCATACGAGAAGCTCAGCCTGTCAAGCCAAAACCAAGGTTACAACAACATCTGTTAT